TCATAGGTAAATAAACGGGATAAATGGAAGTTTCTATTCTCTGAGACTTTAGGCACAGGCTCTTTGGGACGTATTCCCACAGACAGAGGAGGGCTGTTCTAATCATTTCTCATGGATTTGTTATAAACATTGTTAATCACGTGTAAAGCATTTAGAGTTGGTTTATTCCACTTGTGTGTACAAGGCGGGTGTGTGGGTGGTGTGTGTGTGGTCTGTGCACATGTGTGTAAATGCATGAGTGCAGAAGCCTCAGGAGGATGACTGCCAGCAAGCCCCAGTAATCCTCCTGTCTGCGTCCCCCACAGACGGGGGTATGGGTGTGAACGCTCTCCTTTTCATGTGGGTGCTGGGAATTTTAATTCAGCTCTCACCCTTGAGCAACGGGCACTCGACCCACTGCACCATTTCCTTAGCCCCTTTTATCGTTTTTTCTTTTTAATTTGTTTTTATTGAACTATATATTTTTTCTCTGCTCCACTCCCTTCCTCTCCCCTCCCCTTCTACCCTCTCCCATGATCCCTATGCTCCCAATATTTACTCAGGAGAGCCTGTCTTTTTCTACTTCCCAAGTAGATTAGACCCATGTATGTCTTTGTTAGGGCTCTCTTTGTTGTCTAGGTTCTCTGGGATTGTGATTTGTAGGCTGGTTTTCTTTGCTTTATGTTTAAAAGCCACTTATGAGTGAGTACATATGATAATTGTCTTTCTGGGTCTGCATTATCTCACTCAATATGATGTTTTCTAGATCCATCCATTTGCCTACAAATTTCTGCTGTGTAGTACTCCATTGTGTAAATGTACCACATTTTTCTTATCCATTCAGCCCCTTTTTATTAAACTACAGTGCTTTTAGTATTATCACATTTTAATATTGATCACAGTATTGTTTTCTTGTTAGCTATTCTTGTCTATAAAATAAGTAGTTTGGAATTTATAAAGAGTACCTTCCTCCCTTCCAGGACAGCTGGTCTCCCTATTGTAAAGAGCATAGATTAGCTATGCACCTGCTTCATACATTGTACATGTTTATAGGAAGAGACCTCATTATTTGTATGTTATATCAAGTTACCTGGGAAACAGCACCTGTGAGTTTGTAAGAGAACCAAATTGTTTATTGTTGTTGTTTGTTTATTTTTCTATTTTTGTCAATGAAGAAAGGCTGTTCTTAGAGAAGAGAAAATGCACACACACACAGTAAGCACACAGAGAGAAAGGCCCTCTACAAAACAGACAAAGACCTGGGGGTCCAAAAATCCAGTCTCCCCTCAGGGGCTGGGTTTGATGTTTTGGGGGAGCAGGGGTGTTTTATTTCACTTTTTAGGTCTTTGGAGGGTATCCTCCCCAGACCATACTGTTATAAATGCTGCAGGCAGGCCAGCCAGTCCATCAGCTGGGTTCCCTACAGGCAGGGGAAAAGGCCCATAAAGGCCTTTGTTTTAAACCACCAGGCTTTTGTCTCAGATCAGGAAAGTGATCTGCCTGTCCAGAGAACTGACTTTCATTTAATGAGAAAATAGAATTACTGTAGGCTAAGGCATGAGGGAGGAGGATGGGCCACACCCCCAAACATCCAGACACATCTGCCCAGTGGTTTTTTATGTCATCTCTGATACCCAGATCTCGATGCTGGTCCACAGTTCTCAGGGTCACTGTGACTAGAAGGCCCAGGACTGCTGTGTGCAACTCTGTTCAACTCTGTTCTGTTTATTAGGTTATTTCCTTCTTTCTGTTTTGTTTTAAAAATCAATGGGGGCGGTCTTCCCTAAACATCAAAAGTTCAGCCAATTCCTTCCTGCCCGTACCTCCCATTGTCAAGTTGGATTAGAGGCTCCTTATAGACAGCCCCATTCTCTCTGGGCTATCCTAACAGGAATACAATTCTAAATGAATTTTTAGGGTGAGCTCAGATGATGCATGGTAGGCAGTCAATATCCCGAAATGCATTCGTCCCAGGTTGTCTGGTTTCTAGCGCATGCAGTTGCCTCGCCTGGCCTCTTGGGGCACACTTCCCAGGTCTAAAGGAGGGGACGACTTTGTGGAGACGAGAGTTCCAACGAATGCAGAATCTGCCTGCTCTGCTCTCCTGTCCAGGAAGTAACAGTGAAATCTGACTTGACTGGGGATGCAGCCGAGAGACCATCCATGCAGCCGGCTTTCTCAGGCTCCATTGCATGACTCCTAACAAGATCACGGAAGGTCAACAACAAGTTTCCTGAGTCAGAGATCTGCATCTTTCAAAAGAAGAGATAGCGCAACACTGAAATAAAATGTATCAGGAACGGACAGCTCAGTCTGTGGAGAGAAAAGAGGTGTCACAAACACATCAGCTGTCAGGAACTGACATCAACACTTTCAACCCCTTATGAAAATATGGATAACCCCCAAGGGAGACAGGCAGTCACATTTAAAAACCACAAATAAGTTAGTCATGAGACCACAGATTATCATCTCTGCATTGAAGAGGCTAAAGCAGAAGGGTCAGAAGTTCAAGGTCAGGCAGGCCTGCAGTCTCTGCCCCTAGCAAGAGCTGTCTCACAAACAAACAAACAACAACAAAACTACAGAGGGCATAAAGCAAGCAAGCACTCACCTACTAGACGCAAAGCTATCCCGAGGTGTCCAAATCTGAAATGATTAAGCAGAAAGATCGAATAAAGTGCTGTAGGGCCACCCTCTTGACTCACAACGGTTTGAGGCACAGATGAAGAAAGAAACATTAAAAGATTGGGAAGGGCTTGTCGTCAACCCTCAGCCATCCTATTTGGATTCTGTTTTGAAGTGCAACAGAGATTTTAGATACAGAAATGCAGAAGCAGATGTGAAACAGTGCCAAAAATCAAGTCAAACAAGCAAGACTTCCTCAAATAATGAAATACTGAGAAGATTCAAAAGAAAGAGTTTGCCTTGCGTCTTCTGCACAGTGTTCTGTGGGTGAGGGAAAAATCAGTGCAAAGCAGTGTCTATAACATGAGCTTGTTTATAAAAAAACAACAAACTCTCACATACACACACTCACACACACTCACACTCCCTCACACATACACTCACTCACTCGCACACTCACACACTCACACACACTCACTTGCACACACACTGACACACACACACAACACTCTTACACTGACACACACACATACACACACAATCTCACACACACATACACATACTCACAAACATACATGCACACACACACACACACACACACACCTCTGGAAAGGAAACCTAGGAAGGCTCCTTGGTGGCAGACTCTAGGCAGGGTGCCTGGTGGGCCATCAGCAAGTGAGAGACATGTGGCTTTTAGCTGGTCAGTCCTACGGAACCCTCTGGAATTTTGTTCCACACGCACGTGTCACCAACTCCAGATTACATCACAACACAGGAAGTTTAGTGGGTGCTGGGTCATGTAAGGTGAGGAGAGAAACTTAGGCAAAGGGACTTAAAAGTCAATAAAAATTGGACTCTACAAAAGGAAACTTGGAAGTTCTGAAACATTTTAGAGTGTGCCCAGTGGATTTATGCTACTTTATCATATCGGGTTCAGAAAACTCATCTTTTAAAAACCCCTTCCTTCTAGAAACCTAATTTGAAATAATCTTCTTGTTTTCTAAAGGAAGAACGTGACTGGGCAGTATTTCCCCCAAGTTTATGTGTGTGCTTTTATTATTTTGCTTTTACTGAAGTCTTTAATAATGTATATTGTTTTTCATTTTAAAAGTTCTCATTAGAACTAGCTCTAAAAACTATGTGTATAATCTTGTCTTCACAATGTATTCTAACGTGTATTTATCAGTGACAGGAAACTTGTAGGCCCTGCATAGGTTGTTGTCAAGCGTCTGTAACATTAAACACTGTTCAAAACTGAGTTCAAAACCTAGACCATGTGGTCAGGAGGGCTAGGAAATCATTTCTCAAGCTGCCAGATTTCACAGACAGACCAGGCTCTTCCAGTTGGATTCAAGGCCGTTTGTAAGTTATATCCACAACAAAGATGTGTTCAGTGGTGAAAGAAGGTGTGTTTTCAAGTGAAGTATCTGAAAAGGGCTACTTAGATAAGTTCTCTCAGGCTGCTAATCATGTACAAACAGGCAGTTTTTAGTACCTTTCAGAAGGGCCGCAGCTTTTTGGCTGTCCTCCCCATGTGCCTCTTGTCTCCATGGTTCTAAGCAGTGCTGAAGAGATGAGTTCAGATAAGTTCATGGTGTGATCTGTCTTTACAATGCTACCCCTGGGGTTCCAGATCCTAGCAGATTATTAGAATTCTATAGTGGGGTCCCTCTCGCCCCAGTTACTTCTGGAAGAACTGCCATCCATGAAACCGATTAAAGTACCCATTGCCGAGTTTCAAAGTCTAGACCACCCAAGCTCACAGGCCCCAGGAAGAGTGAGTGAGAGCTGGTCATCGTGAGACGGACTGGCTGCCCTATCCTCCAGTCCAGGCATGTCCACCTCAATCGAGATGACCGAGGTTTAGGTAGACTGATTTGTACACAGTGTGGGAACAGTCAGATAAGCTGTCCTTACCTCTCCAGCTGTGCTTGCTTTGATCTTCTCTGTGTTTGGGGAAACCCCTGGGGAGGGTAGAACTCACATGGGACAACAGAGTCTGGAGTCAAGTCCTGCCTTGTCTATTGTTAGATTTTCATCTCCTTTAAAGATGTGGTGCTCTTTAGGAATGGCTTGGAAATTGCATTTTAATGGGACCAGTTGGGATGGAGGGTCAAGAACTGCCTGAATTTTAACAAACAATACTCCCTCTAGGTAATGTTTGTGTCAAAAAAGAGTTTTAAGGTAGCTATGCTGATAATACGCACCTGTAATCTCAGTATTTGAGAGACTGGGATAGGAGGGATTGTGAGTTCAAGGTTAGCCTGTATGGTAGAATGAGTTCCAAACCAACTCAGACTACATAGCAAGACCCTGCCCCAATGGGAAAGAGGGGGAAAAAAATCTTTAGTCTTTTTTTTTTTCAATTTGGTTTGTCTTTCCTTTTTTATTCAAAGGTATGACCCTGGCATTTGCAGGAATGTATTTATTGGTGAATTTTGCTCCAAACATGACCCAGGCGATCTCAGCAAGGACAGTACAGTATTATTTTGTTGGCTGGCAGTTCCTGGTCTACGTGGTAAGGGTTCTGCATCTTTTACTGCTTCTGATGTCTATTCTCTAGACCACAGGGGGCTACAGTCTTAGGAAACTCACGCAGCCAAGTGCATGTTACCAGTACTGAGGGATTTGAGATGCTAAGTCACTGTTGAAGCATCTGCCAAAATGTGCTTATTGAGATCAAAGCAGCAGCAATGACACAGTCCCAAGGGATGTGTGGAAAGGGGGAGGGACAGAGGAGGAGGGAGGAGGAGGGAAGGAAGGAGCTGGTAAATAGGCAGCTGAAGACATTGATTGAGATGTTTTATGTGATACAATGGCAGTTTTCAGTAAGTATAAAGAAGGAATTGCATCAGCAGTAGAAATATAACTCACTACAGAATGCAGCTGAGATTGGGAAAAAAGAGGAATCTAGAAAGAACAAGTATTAGAAAGAAATAGAATTGTCTAAGTGAGCATTTACTTGTTTGACAAAATACTTGTAAATTCAATAACAAGAATTGAAGCCTATGGACTCATACATTTTTAGGATTAGAAGTGGCCTTAAAAAGGTATCTGATACAGTTCTCTATGCAGAAAAAGGTTTTCTTGCTTTACCGACTTAGTTTTAAAAGCTGTTGACATTTACGGGTTTTACAGGTAAACTTTGCCCCCTGGGTATACATTAGGCTCATGTCACAGCTGTCAACGTGACAAGAGGTCTGTCTCACTATCTCTGACGTGACCCTGAACGCTGGAGCACAGATGCCTACAAATGTTCTCCACTGTTACCCTCTTTGCTCCTTTCTTGTACCCCACAGAAAAATAATGTCTGTGCTTTGAAGTGTTCAGATACTACGCACCATGAATAAACTATACCGTAGCCTTCCAAGCCACCATTTCCTCTGCTCCCATCTACTCCTTTTTCATTACAATTAGTGTGCGTGTGTGTGTGTGTGTGTGTGTGTGTGTGTGTGTGTGTGTGTGTTACTGAGAGGAAAGGAAAGAGAGAGAGAGAGAGAGAGAGAGAGAGAGAGAGAGAGAGAAGGAATTCTTGGACTTTGTGCAGTGTTTACTCCATGTGGGCATCTTGAATGTCTCTCTTCCTTGACTTTCTTGGTATATTTTACATTTCTTTCCTCCTCTGACTGTTCCATTTTGGGTTCTTCATGGGCCCCTCTTCATCTGCCAACCACATATGTCTCCTGACACAATATATGCTACCGAGACCTTCTAAAACAATTCTGTTCTAGTTTGTGTTTCTATTGCTATGATAAATACCAAGACCAAAAGCTAGTGGGGTGTGGGGAAGGTGTATGTGGTTTACAGTTTGCAGTACATGATCAAGGGAAGTTAAGGCTAGAGCTTCAAAACAAAAACCTGGAGGTAGGAAGTGAAGAAGAAAGCCCGGAGAAAGGAATGCTTCCCATGGCTCTCTTGACTTTTTACTCAACCCAGGGTCACCTGCCCAGGGGTGGGATTGCCCACACTTGGAGGAGTCCTCCCCTGTCAGTCATTCATCAGGAAGACGCCTCCGCAGACACGCCCATGGGCCAGTCTGATGGAGGTAACTCTTCAGTTGAGTTTTCCTCCCAGGCACCTCTTGTTTGTTTCAAGTTCAGCACAGACGCCATTGCTCACACGGCATCGTGTTCTTGCAATCCATACCTACCTCTTCCCAGGCCTCTCCTGACTCTTCACAGCCTGCATTCGCTCCCTGCTCAGTCATTACTTACCCCTTCGTGAATGTTCTATGGTTCCTCAAATGCAAATTCTCAGACTCTAAACTCAGTGTTGTGCCCCCAAACTTTCTCATCTCCTGTCTTTTCTGTGTCGGTCTGCCATGTTGGAAACATGAGCAACATATGACTCCTCACATCTTGATTTCCCAGTCTCCATCCTTACATGTTTTAAAGTCTCTTGAACCTGACCTCTCTCTTGTATTCCCATTGCCATTGCATCCATACAAGCTTCCATCATCTCAGGCCATGCCAGCAGTGTCTTAAGAAGCCTGTCCTCCTTGCTGGTCAACATCATGCTGGTAACTACAGGCATCACCCTGTCAGCCTCGTAACTCAGTGCCATTTTGCCTATGGTTCCTTTGCCAGGGAAGTACCCTGCTTCCTCTAACCTAGAACTCCATCATCTTTTAGCTCCCTGCAAACTCAGCCTCCTGGATACAACTCTGATGAAGCCTCTTCTGTGGAAAAATTACAAAGCTAGTTTCTCTATTTGCTATGCTTTTTTTACAGCCCACGTTATGACATAACTCCCTAGTTACCTGTCCTCTGCTCCAGCAGTGCACTGCCACGGGAGAATTATTGGTTAATCAGCCAATCAGCTAGCCCATTACTCAACAATGTCCTGCCTAAAGAAATGCCTGTTTGTGATATGTTGCTAGCCAGGCTCTTAATCTCTTAGATTTCATTTTCACCCTGCCCATCACTTAGCAGCTCTTCCTTAGTCCCTGCCCTTAGTTTTGGGCTTTTGGCTTCCCAACTCAAGTTAGTCTTCATAGGGCTCTTCATACCCTGCACTCACCTCACCCTGTTCATTTTCTTACTTGTCCATCATCATAGTCTTTTAACTACCACAGCTTTCATCAATCAACTCTAAGCACTAGACGGAGTTTTAATCGCTGATTTACTTCTGTTCTTTATACTTTATTAAATATTGCATGGTAGTGCAGGCTTGAAATCTGACCAACACATTACAACTTTTTGCCTACAGGCAAAACAAATGCTTCATCCAGTAACAAAAAAGTGACATAGCCTATGAGCAGAAAATTAATAGCCTGAGTTGGATCCTCGGGAGATTAAAGATGCATCAAGCCTTCTTTTCTGGAATAAACTACATGCTTTAATTATGACGTATTTTGTATTGTTTTTAGTACCCGAGAATACATCTAAAAAGGACAAAACTTCCTTTTTAAATCTTTGCTTTTCTTTTTTTCCTCATGGTACTGAGGATTGAAACCAGACCCAGCACACCCTAGGCAAGAATTCTAGTACTGAGAGGTATACCCAGTTCATGAACTTCTTATTAAATCTTACAGATGGACAAAAAATTACTCCAAATTTAACTACATTTTGATATTTTTCTAAAGCTAATTGTTTTATATCATTTTTTTAATCTTTGAGAATTGTATTCTTGTATACAACGTATTTTGACCATAGCCCCCAGTCCTCCCCCTAACTCCTCCCAGTTTCATCCCCCATCCCCACACCTCACAGCTAAATGTCCTCAAAGTTTACTCTTAAATTCATTTATTTACTCACCCATTCAACCTAGTGCGGTGTTTATTGTAACCTAGGTAATTGAGAGGAAAGTAAAGACCTTTAGTTCCGAAAACCATATTATAATAATGAAAACTATCTCAAAATAAATTCCACACAGGAAAGTGTAACTACTTTAAGATATTTATAAGATAGCATAAAATAAGTCTTTAATAAGTTACAGTTGAGTGGCACTGTTGCATTAGGGGAATGATCAATTTTATATTAGTTTGAAATCTTGTCCCCGCATCACCAGCAGCTCTAGGAGTGATGGGTCTCATGCTAAGACCTTTGCAATTAATTTTTGGCTAAATCTATTGAACATCTAAGTAATCAAAGTTCAGTTTTCAGATGTAGTACATTAGGTACTTTTTTTCTTGGTTTTTGTGTTCTTTAGTTTTTACAAAGGTTATGATTATATTAAGACTATTCTTTGAGCTGGGTGTGATGGCACATGGCTGTAATCACAGCACTCAGAAAGATAGTAGAAAGATCACATGTTCAGGACCATGCTGGGGTACATGGACCCTGTCTCAACACCACCTTCCAAAACCCTAGCTTTTGACAAGCCGTTCATCGTTTCTGTATTACACCAAGTATAATGACAGCATCTGAATTGCTTCTCAGGATTGATCAGACTAACATACCAAATGAATAAAAATATCCAAAAGTCTCCATCAGTTTTACATTTTCCACAAAGGGATTGTATAGTTACATTCCAGGCCCGCTCATCTCTCACCCTTCACGTACGTGTTGACGTGGATGTCTGTGATATCTCCAGCTCTCTGTTAAATGAAAGCCTCACCACAAACCAGGAGCCTGTCCCCTGCTAGGTGTCCTTGTGCAGAAAAGGGATCTGAGAAGCCTGGTGTCTGCTAACGGGGCAGAATCAGTCACTCACCCTCTGCCCCAGCATTCTCAGGCCCATCTGCCACAGAAGAATAGTTCGCTTCCTCACACCTGCCAAAAGTCGAGGCTGAATGGGTCTCAAGGTCAGAGTAATTTGGAAAGACACTACCCAGCACAATCCCTCCGAGAAACCTATGTCAGTGGGCTAAAAGGTAGTAGAGGAGCTTACGTTCCCTTGGTCCCATGTGTCTTGCTTGACCAAGGAGTTATAGAGCCATTCCTTGCGCAACCCACCTGTTAATGTATTCTTTGCAGCCCACACAGGAGTGCAGCCCTAAGCCTCACTTACATCATGCTCCTTGGCAGGCTTGGTGGTGGCTGTTTTGCCCACCCAGACTTTCCAATAAACTACTCAAATTGAAACCTCTGTTCTGAACATAAAATCCCTCACACGATAATCTACACAGTGCTCATTTTCTCTCCTCAAATCAGCAGTGGCAGGAGCCCAAACCTATCATTTGAAGTAATTCTGTGCCCAATGCTGATTATTAAGTCTGCAGTTCTGACAAAGCTGATTCAACACCCACCATCTGGCGCTGTGAACCTGGAGGAAGAAAGCTGTGTTTTTATTAAACATTTCTCTTGTGAGATTCCTTTGCGCTCTTGTCTAGATGCAAACAACACTGCATGCCTGCAGCAGGGGGCACTCCGTAGGGGGCTCTGACAGAGCAGGCAAAGCCCATGCACAGTCGTGCACATTCTCCACCTCATCCCTGCAGCAGCAGCCCCAGGAGTGGGCACCGTTGTCTCCTTTGCCTCCCAGAAAAGGAAACTGAGGCAGAGAGAGAGGTTCAGTAACTTGGCCAAAGTCTGTCTATATATATATATTCAGAAAGGCAGGACTCAAAGCCAAGGTTGTCTTTCTCTGGAGGGCACACTCCAACACTTCACGGAAATGCAAGATCAGGGCAACTGTCTACCAAGGATCAAAGTGTCTACAGAGAACATTGACAGATCCTATTTCTGTGAGACTCCCCCCCCCTCCAAAAATAAAAGTCTTCTGAATGGCTCAGCTTTCAAGAAAGAAAAAGGGTGGGGCTGGAAAAATGGCTCAGTGGTTTTGAGCATGTACTGCTCTTGCTAGGACTTCAATTCCTAGCACCTGCATCAGCTGATTAAACAACCACCGGTAATTACAGCTCAGGAATCCAGTGCCCTCTCCTGACCTCCGTAGGAACCCACACTCAAGTATACACACAGGGGTGGGAGAGAGAGAGAGAAAGAGAGAGAGGTTAAAATTAAAGTAAGTCATTTTGACAAAGAGAAATAGGAGATAAACTCAGATTGGTGAAATTCATCCGTTTTTAGAGGTGGGCAGCCCTTGGGCTTCCCACAGGTCAGGGATCCCTGATTGCTCTTCGAGCAGATGAGGGAGGGGGACTTGATCGGGGGAGGGGGAGGGAAATGGGAAGCGGTTGCGGGGAGGAGGCAGAAATCCTTAATAAATAAATAAATTAAAAAAATAAATAAAGAAAGAAATAAAGAAATTCATCCGTTTTGACATGCCATCTCCTAGGCAGACATTGATCCCTTATTACTAAACCAACAGGCTAGCTAGTACCATTCATTCTAATTAGATTCAAGAACCAATTAAGAAACCCCCAAGTGCCAAGCATGATGGTGCACACCTTTAATCCCAGCACTCTGGAGGCAGAGGTAGGTGGATCTCTGTGAGTTCAAGACCAGCCTGGTCTATATGAGTCCTAGGCCAGTTAGGGTAATGGAAAGAGGGAGGGAAGGAAGAAGGGAGAGAGAAAAAGACAACCAGAAACTCCAAAACCAACTGTCTTGAGGTTTCTATTGCTGTGAAGAGACACCATGACCATGACAACTCTTATAAAGGAAAACATTTAACTGGGGCTGGCTTCCAGTTCAGAGGTTTCGTCTCTTATTGTCAAGGCAGGAAACATGGCAGCATGCAGGCAGGCATGGTGCTGGAGAAAGTTGAGGGTTCTATATCTTAATCCACAGGCAGCAGACAGAGACTGTGTGCCAGACTGGGCATAGCTTGAGCATAAGAGACCTCAAAGCCCACCTCCACAGTGACACACTTCCTCCAACAAGGCCACTCCTCCTAATAGTGCCACTCCTTATGGGCCAAGCATTCAAACACGAGTCTATGAGGGCCATTGCTATTCAAACCACCACACCAACTCAGAAAATCTATCTTGAAGACAATACCTTTGAAAAGACTTTAGGAACTGAAACCTGAATCAATTTACTATGAATTCCATAACAATTTTTTACAAATTCAGCAGCAGGGAACAATGAAAATGATTTACCGTGCTGGACCCTGAACTAGAGTCAAGACACTGGCAGGCTCTGCTCCTTCCTTAGCCTCCAGGGAGGACCCTGTCTCTTCCCCTTCCTACAGGTCTTTAGCAGGGTTTGCCTCAGCCTCTCCTAAACTACCCATCTTTGTGACTTCAGCGGTTCTGCTTTCAAGGGCTCATGGACTCAAATCACCCAGGATCATCTCCCATTTCAGGTCCATAATCTTAACCCCAGCTGCAGAGCCCCAGGGCAATATGCCATGATGTGAACAAAGGTTCTGGGCATTTAGAACATGTCCTCTTGGATGGGGTGGCATTATTCTGCATTCTTGGGATGGTGTTCTTCAACACACCCCACATACACAACAGGCCCCAGTTTGCTCACTCACAGAATAAAGACAGTCATAGAACCCGCTTTCTCTGGTGGCTGAGGTTTGGTGAGTTGATGTAAGGAGAGCCCTGAGGGCAGTGCATACTGGCCTCCCAGGGGCAGTCAGCAATGAGGCTTCTCCATGGGGTGCAGGAGCCCATGAAACCACAGATGCCTGCCTAATTCAGAGAGGAGTGTAGAAAAGAACGGACATTCTTCATGGGGCTTGAATATTTTATCCCTGGGAGCTGTGCAACCTCTTGACACGAGGCAGAACCCAGTGCCACCATAGTCCTTCTGTAGATAATGAGAGCTCATGTTTTATTTATCTGAAGCCACAGAGATGGAATGTGAGGAGGGGAAAGAATCTGCATGATTTTCAGAACTACAACTCTCTATATCCTGCCTCACCAAAATTTAAAGTGGGCACGAAGCAGATGTTCCCTGCTCTGCTCTTGAGGGAGGGCCCTCTGTCCCCTGGTCATGAATCCAGTGTGACAGTGACATTAGGGGAGAACTGGATGCCTGCACTGAGGGACGCTCAGCCAAGGCCTTCCTGTTAAAGGTGGAAGGAGACAGAAACACTCAAGGCCTCAAAGGGAGGACATAGGGAGCTCCAGGGAGGACATAGGAGCTCTAGGAAGTACATAGGGAGCTCTAGGGAGGACATAGGAGCTCTAGGGAGGACACAGGGAGCTCTACGGAGAACATAGGGAGCTCTAGGGAGAACATAGGGAGCTCTAGGGAGGACATAGGGAGCTCTAGGGAGGACATAGGAGCTCTAGGGAGGACACAGGGAGCTCTAGGGAGGACACAGGGAGCTCTAGGGAGGACAGAGGAGCTCTAGGGAGGACACAGGGAGCTCTAGGGAGGACACAGGGAGCTCTAGGGAGGACACAGGGAGCTCTAGGGAGGACAGAGGAGCTGTAGGGAGGACAGAGGAGCTGTAGGGAGGACACAGGGAGCTATAGGGAGGACATAGGAGCTGTAGGGAGGACATAGGGAGCTCTAAGGAGGACAGAGGAGCTGTAGGGAGGACATAGGAGCTGTAGGGAGGACATAGGAGCTGCAGGGAGGACAGAGAAAAAGCTCTTGGACAGCTTTTGTAGAGCATCATAGTTAATGACCTTGCAAATATTTCCTATACAGAAAAGTGGTAATAATTGGCCTCATTTACCAGGGGAAAGTTGAAAGGATAATTCAATCTTTCATATTATATAGAAAGCTTCCTAATTGAGAGAGATCTAGCCAGTGGCAGGATCCGGAGCCCAAACAGGAAGTACAGTATTTAGAGAAGGCTCTATATGTAAAACTCAGCTCTGGAAATAGTGAGGAACTTAACTCAGTGATTTCTTCAGTTTATTGGATATTAGGTCTGTTTGGCAGGCAAGCTGTTTGAAATAGATTTGTGAATTTCATAAATACTCACTGAGTGACCAACTGTGCACTGGACACAGAGAGAGTGACAAACAGAACAGAGAGAATTCCCGCTTTCATTGAACTGACTTGGTCTGTCTGTAGTTGGGAAGACAGAGAAGCAACAGCCAGAAATACAGTCGCTGATAAAGAGGCCACAGTGACCTGATGCTGGGCTGTGCAGGATGACAGGGTGGCTCTTACACATCAAGTCATCAGGGAAACCTCAGAGGCGGTGACATCTCGGCTGAGAGCTGCATGACCCGAAGGAGCCATTGCGTGAAGATCGGGGAAGAGACGTCTGAGAACAGCGAAGCAGTGGCTCTCAGCCTTCCTAATGCCCTGTGAAAGTGCGGTTCAACCCCGAGGGCTTGAGAACCACTGTGCTAGAGTGAGGGAGGGAGGCCAGGGAAGGAGGAAGAGAGAGAACAAGGAAGAATAAGAGAACACGGGCCACCATGACTGGCACAGACTGGACCAGCTATGAGGTCTGTAGCAGAAGCTAAACTCTGTTACCCGGGAGAAAATTTGGTGTTTAATATACAAGGGATGGAAAGCCATAAGAAATTCCAGCCAAAGAATGACTAGATCTAATTTCTATTTTCATTCCCAGTATCAATCTGCATGAATCCCATGCACAGCTGTTTCTTTTATTTTGTTTTTCTGAGTCTGATTTACTTATTTCTCTTAATGTAATATGATTTCTACCCATTATCCTGCTTGCCCATTATAGCTAAATAAGATGGTTTAATATACCACATTTCATTTATTAATCCACAGCTTTAAATAATTCTGGACTGCCAAATGGTAGGAGTGTTGAAAGGCAAGGGTAGAGTCAGGCAAAGTGGAAGATGGCCGCAGCCTTGCAAGAAGACTGGCAGAGGGTAAAGGGGGTGAAGCTGGGGGGCCCTGCAGTGGTGCATGGCTGCAGAAAGACCTGGCAAGACGTGGGGAATCAAGACGTAAGCGGTTGCCCAATGTAGCACAGTGTGGCTGCTCAGCGCACACAGGGACAAGGAAGAGACCAGAATGGCAGTGGGGCTGGAGCTGGGGAGCTGGGCTTGGCGTGGCTGGTAGGTGGGCAGCATTCAAGCTCTTTGGGAGGCTGGACTGAGGGTGTTGGTGCCACCCTGCATTTACAGTCAGCCCTGGGAACCACAGCCACCCCAGCCGTCAAGAGAACCATGGCAAATCCAAGCAGATGTTTGGGGCATCTTGTGGGCTATATAGAGTAACTTACACTCTTTTTTTAAATCTCTTTCATTTTTAGATTTTAGAAATCCTAGTTTTCTGCATCCTTCTGTACTTTCATAAGAGAAAAGGATTGAAGCACCTTGTGATCCTGCTCACCCTGGTGGCACTCCTCGGTAAGGACCTGCTTCGTGGTGTGAGTCTCGCCCTGGTGACTCTCCTTGCTAGATAAAGCCCTGATTTGTGGTCTGAGTCTCTGTGCTGTGCCAAGTCAGGCCATCAAAGGAAAATGCCCAGACACGCTATTCCCTTTCTCACTGTTTCTGTTTTTCCACCTCTGACCCTCAAAAAGAAAATCCGAATTATACTTTGCATTTCATATCTCAATTTATACATATTTAATTCTTTTTAAAATATACTTAAGTTTTTCATCTGTTGGTAATGTTTTCCTCCCTGAAAAGCTGAAGATTTTTAAGAGGATCATTGAAAATATTAAAAGGAAGAAACCAGCCAGGCGGTGGTGGCGCACGCCTTTAATCCCAGCACTTGGGAGACAGAGGCAGGTGGATCTCTGTGAGTTCCAGCCAGCCTGATCTACAAGAGCTAGTTCCAGGACAGGCTCCAAAGCTACAAAGAAACCCTGTCTAGGAAAAAAAAAAAAAAAAGGAAGAAACAAAGGGACTCAATTTGGCACAGAACTTGCTTAACAAGTCTGTCCTGTTTATATTTTTAACTATAGTTAATATGAAACATAAGCATGAATAGCATGATTTTCTTAAATATTATATTTCTTTCATTCTTCATTTACTTCTTGTCCCAGTGGCTCCTGGAAAAGTTTGGAACCTAATACTTAGATAACAACTGTATTTTCTGTACTTTTTTCTCCCTTTCATCTCCTATCTCTCCTGATCTTTCTCATATACTTATATGCCAACACAAAGATCACTCACAGCCCATTTTGAGTAATTTCCTCTTAATACTTTATTTAAAACTCTTCCTTCTTTGTCATAAGATGGATCAAACTTGATGGGCTGTACGGGCCTCACTGGGGCAGGTGTACCTCACCCCACTAACGAGATGCTGGGCCCTCACCTCGCTACCATGCTGGGGCAGGTGTACCTCACCCCACTAACGAGATGCTGGGCCCTCATCTCTCCACCTTATCAGTTAATCCTCTTCTCTGCATCAGAGGATTTGTATTTATAACACTTTTAGAAACAAATATACCCTACACAAAACACCATCTGCAGGTGTTTTAGAGATCAAGGAAACAGAGGGAACTTTGAGTTGTTTTCAGAAGTAAATAAGAAAAGAGAAAACATACACCTTATAGAAAAAGAATGAAAATAAAAGAGACGTTGAAATAGGAACATAACAGAATTAAGGTCAGGTTGTGAACATAAATGTAGATGAAACCAGTTTTTCAAAAGGAAGATTTTCAAATTGGACTTCAGAGAAACTCTCAGAGTAATTTTCAAAATGGTTCTGAATTGGATTCAGTCCGTGCGCCTGGGAACAGCTCTGTGCGGATTACTGAAATAGCCACACAATACCTGCTATCTTCTAGAATGAGTCCTTCCCAAGACCCTCCTTCTCAGGTCTCTACACCTGCCATGATTAGCACTCAGTACTAGAGCAAGAACCTCCTTCGGGACCAGCTCCCTGTCTGATCAGCCTTGCTAGGTGTGAAATGAGCGTATAAACATACATACCTTGTTTAGAACTGTGTAACATATGCCTGAAGTAGAAGAAAGCAGGTGTCTTGTTTTGCTAAGTTAAAAATCAGGCAGAGGACATTAAATGTGACGAGCAGAAGCGTTCTGATAAGAGTCTAGTCTAGCTGGGCGCGGGGACGCCACCTTTAATCCTAGCACTTGGGAGGCTAGAGGATTTGAAGCAAGTTTGGTGTGTATCATAAGTTCAAAACCAGCTGAGACTCCATAGTGAGACCCTGTGTAGAAGAAAAAGAAGGAAGAGGAGGAAGAGGGGTGGGGAGGAGGAAGAAGAGTCTAGTCCAGAGGTGCATCATGTTGAACGTGCAATGGAAAAAATCTCAGAAAGGCACACTTATAGAATGGTCAGAGGCGTAGGAGACTTCTCTCTGCTCATGGAAGATAAAGGGACAGACAAATGCTTTGAAGTAGAAGATTTGAATACTTAGTGTTGAACTGGACCATCTACTACTGGACGCTCTCTCCTGAAAACAGAGTGGCCCTCGTTTCGTGTGCTATGCTATTTACAAATGCAGACTTTATAATGGGCTACCAAAAGGTCCTTGATCCATTCCAGAAAGCTGAAACAGGACAAATCACATTCACAGTGAAATAAAAACAGAAAATAATCACAAAACTAGATACTTATAAAATCCTGGAAGCATTAACAGTGCTCCAACTGCAATCCCACAAACTGCGAACACAGGTTTAATTGCAGCACATAGATTCAAGATCATGGTGAAAATACTTAATATTAAAACCTACAATTGATTAATGCCGTGGTCATAGGAAATTATTGCTAGTCACTAGTGACTTTTACAAGAAAAAGGAGTTATAAAAGCCATGGGGAAATTTGAAAAACGTGTTGTGTTGTATGAAATGGAAACGCAGCACACAGTGTGCTTTCCTGCACATGTCAGAAGCACACACGAACGGCTGCAGAGATGACTCAGTGGTTAGGAGCATCGGCTGCTCTTCCAGAGGACCTGGGCTTGAGTCCCAGCACCCACATGGTGGCTTACAACCATCTGTAACTCCATTTTCAGGGGATGGGATGCCGTCTTCTGGCTTTTGCAGGCATCAGACATGCAAGTGGGACACAGACATGCATGCAGACAAAATACCCACACTCATAAAATTAAAATAAAAATAAACAAGAAAGCACACACAAGGCAAATTGGAGGCAGGTGAGAGGGAGTGGATTGTGTGGGCAGATCAAAACATCTGCAATCCTTTAGATATGCATGCAGAAGAATCAGGAGTTCAAGGCCAGATTCAGCTACATACTTGAGCTTGAGGTCAAATATGAGCTACACAAGACTCTATCTCAAAAAAAATATTTAAGGAAAAAAGGAGGAAAGAAAAGGAGAGAGGGAGGGGAAAAGAAGAGAAGGGAAACAAAGGGGCTTCCAATGAGTAGCTGTCTTGCCTATATCTTATGACATCATTTCTTTACACACACACACACACACACACACACACACACTTTTAATGTTTTTTCCTTTCAGTGAAAATAGATTTTTTAACACAATATATCCTGACTGCAGTTTCCCCTCCCTCTATGCCTCCCAGTTCCTCCCCACCTCCCTTTCCATCTGAATCATCTCCCTTTCTGTCTCTTATTAGAAAACAAACATGATTCTAAGAGATAATAATACAATAAGATATAATAAAGTAAAATTTAATAAACAAATACAAAACTAACACATCAGAATTGGACAAAACAAGCAGAAGGGAAAGGAGCCCGGTGAAGGCACAAGAAAGCGACACTCAGTCATTCTGGAATCCCATAGGACACTAAACTGGAAAGCTTATATGCAGAGGACCTGGTGCCGACCTTGTGTAGATCCTGTGGGCGTTGCCTCAGTCTCTGTGAGTTCTAACGTGCTGTGTGTGATCATGTCGATTGTCCCCCATCCCCTCTGGCTCTCACTCTCTTCCTGCCTCCTCTTATACAGGGTTCTCTGAGCCCTGAGGGGAGGGATTTGGTGGAGACATCCATTTAGGGCTTAGTGTTCCTAGGTCTCTTTCTCTTGGCATAATGTCTGGCTCTGGGTCTCTGTATTTGTTCTGTCTGCTGCAGGAGGAAGCTTCTCTGATGTTGGCTGAGCAAGGCACTGATCTATGAGTAGAGCAGAATGTCATTAGGAGTCATTTTGTTGCTACTTTTATTTTAGACCAGTAGCATTTGGTTTTACCCTTGTGACCCCAAACTATCTCTCCTCAGGCTCAGTCACCCAAGCAGTGTTGGGTACGGATTCCATCTTGTGGAGTGGGCCTCAAGTCAAATCAGATATCAGCTGGTTACTCACGCTGTTGTTGATTGGTTGGTTACCATCACCCTACCATACCTTGCCGGCAGGACCATCATACTAGATCAGAGGGTCTGTGGCTGGCTTGGTGTTTACGTTTCTTTTGGTAATATGCAGAGTCCCTGTGCCAACGAAGCTAGCATGTAGGGGTGACAGCTCTGTACAGGCTGTTACCAAGGCTACAGGTTTCTCTCCACAAGTGACATTGCTGAAGACAACACCTACACAACGCGTTGAACATGGAGAAGCTGTTCTTCAGGGATTCCTATGGGACCCCTTTGGCCAACAACTCAACTAGGTGTAACCCAATCCCAAGACTGGAAGCTTCATTTGATGACAAGAGATGGGCAGTTGGGGCTCTGTCTCCCCCATTATTTGATAATTTCATTTAGGTCATCTTTACATGTACTTATTTTAGGAAGCTTTTACTGTACTAGGTTTCCATCCTACCCCTCAAATGCCCCTAATTTTAGGTACCTTAATAATTATAAATTGGCATTGTATAGCCATATAAATTTATGGGGTAAAGGAGCATTATGGTTTATGAACACTATTGTAACGATCACACCCATAGTTAATATATCCATCAGCCCAAATATTGACCATTTGTGTATGTGTGTGTTGACAGCATTTAAATTGTATTTTCCTAGAAATTTTTGAATGCAAATGAAATCTCAGGATATATCTAGTGGGCTTTTTGTTGTTTTGACATGGTTTAGGTTTTGAGTTCTGTTGTGCAACGTGTGAGTTTTGTTAATGACAATCTGTGACCTCCTTCCTTAAAAAAAAAAAATCTGAAGCCTCTGTGCACCGTCCTCCCAAGGGTCAGAATGCTGGAGGATCCAGAAAGATCACCCTATTTTTAGCACACTCCAGTTGTCAAAGCACAACTCAAATACTGAAGGCTTCGATTAGGAGAGGTTAATCTAATATCTAGTCACCCAGGAATCCTTAGAAAGGGATAAAGACTGTTAAACAAAGAGAGACAGACATCAAATGAGGGATGAGCAGGGAGCTGGAGAATGTGTTGTAGCAATGACAGGAGTATGTGTTTACGGTTGACAATTAAGAAAATAGAAGTAGAAAGGCAACAATGAAACGTGTGTCATGAAGACTGACACCATGTGACAGCGTGACTCCGTCCTCCGAGGCTGTCTGTGAGACTCGTGTCAGAATCCTCACACAACAGCTGTCAACGGTGATTCCCTCCAGGTGGTTTTCCACAGAAATAGGCAGAGTGAAGGACAGATCTGTGTTCAGGAAAAGTCACTGCAGCCTCATTTTAATGAAAGAGAAATAAAGGATGTAGTCTAAATATCCAAAAATAGGAAATTGTCAAAATAAATTATGCACCTCATACAAAGGCATTCTTGACAGCCGATAAAAGTCTTTAGAATACTTCATGGCATGGAAAATACTTAATGGTGGTGGGAAATCGTTCCTACATAGAGAACTGTCTGAGTCTCAGGCTGTGAGCCATTCTTTCTTGGAGAAAGGAAAATAACGGTGTGCCCAAATGTTAGAAATGTCTTGAGGATGAGTCCTGAGATGATGGTTGAGGGCTAGAGAGATATTTTAGCAGTTAAGAGTATGGCTGCCCTTCCAGAGGACCCAGGTTCAATTCTCAGCACCCATAGGGCAGCTCACACCTGTCTGTAACTCCTGTTCCAGGGATTCTGACACCCTCACACAGACAAATATCCAGGCAAAACACCAATGAACATTAAAATAAAAAAGTAAATTATAAAAGATGACAATTGATTTGGGTTTTTTTTTTTTTAAGACAGACTTTCTCTGTGTATCCTTGGCTGTCCTGGAACTCACTCTGTAGATAAGGCTGGCTTCAAACTCACAGAGATCTGCCTGCCTCTGCCTCCAGAGTGCTGGGATTGAAAGCGTGGCTTTTGATTTTTATTTTTCTTTCAAAGCTTTTCCACATTTTTCTAAATTTTAAATGATCATGGATGCTTTTATAGATACTTTAACTTAAGTTAATATCATACTCCCAGTATTATAGATCACAACTGATGATGTCATCATGATGTTTCCATCCTCTTTTATAGATACTTTAATTTAAGTTAATATCATACTCCCAGTATTACAGACACAACTGATGGTGTCGTCATGACGTTTCCATCCTCTTTAATTTAAGTTAATATCATACTCCCAGTATTACAGATCACAACTGATGTATCGTCATGACGTTTCCATCCTCTTTAATTTAAGTTAATATCATACTCCCAGTACTACAGACACAACTGATGGTATTGTCATGACGTTTCCATCCTCTTTCCTTGCACGCCTAGGTCTCTAATGTACGTTACACTGATACCCTGTCACAATTTTTAATTTCAACCTATTCTCACCAGCCCTCCCAAAATAGCGAAAACATGTAATTTGTAGTGCTTGGTACCAACCTAGAAATTACATAAAAAGTTACAAAGATAACAGTTATTCATACTTCCAAAATATAATCAATTCTGAATGGAGATGGAGTTGCATCCAGGGTATAAGACCTCCTGGCTCGGATTGGGGATTCATTTTAGAATCTGTCTCCTAATCTCTGATAATTATGACTTTTAATTGAATGAAAATGCTTAGCTTGGAAGTATTCCCTAGTACTCTTCAAATTATAGCGAGTCTTCAGATTTTGGAAGATGAAATTATGGAGGGTTGTTACCTACTTTAAACATATGCTTTATATGTTTTATATGATCTTTTTAAAAGCTAAAAAGGAAAACATTCTCATACATTGTGACCATGTAGATCAATAGTAATACAGTATTGCTTCTCTTTCATATGCCTTTGGCTTGTAATTACTTGATTTCATGTAAAAATTATTTGTGAATTTTCTTTTTTACATGTGATGTATCTGTGCATGCGTGCCTTGCTCCTCTGGACATGTGTGACAGCGTGAAAGTGACTGAAAAAAAAATCTTTCTCGGTTGCTTTTCCACCTTTTTAAGACAGAATCTCACTGTTTCAGCCAGGCTGGCTGGTCAGAAAGCTCCCAGGCTCCACTGTCTCTGCGTCTACCCCAACCCTGGCAGTGTGGTTACAGATGCGCACAGCCACAATACTGACATTTGTTCTGGGGAGTCCAGCTCAGGTCCTGTGTTTGCACTTTACCCACTGAGCCATCTCCTCACCCCCTGCTGGAGAATTTTCTGTGGGTTTCAGCTAAAGTATGAATTGTTCAAAGGATCTGGGACAGATAAAATGCTCTGGATTCTATAGAAACGTGAGAAGAAAATATACACTGTGTTGGCAATCCATTTTGTAGCCTGTTTTCCTTAATTGGTCTCTGGAACCTATGAGAAGTCTGTCCTCCTCCCCCTCCCCCCCCCCCCAGAGTCTCCTCCTTGGTGCAGAGAATCAGAAGATGCTCCTTATGTAAACGTCACATTTATGGGTTAGTCTGAGAAATGAGTACTTGGTTCTGGTCCTGGTTCTCCTTATTGTTCTTGTCAGAACGTTCAGGGCCTCCACTAACAAACCCTCAGGAAACTCAGGCTGCTCAGTGAGCGGCTTTTGCTTCTTCTCGCCTCTTCAGCTTTGATCTCTCCACACAGTTTGACATTTCCCCTTGACGGCTGCACTGGTACCCTGACCTGCTGCTTCCCTTCACGGCTTTCGCCTTTCACATCCGTTAATGCTTCCTGTCATCTCCATGGCTGTCTCCCATCGGGGCTGGAAAGTGAGCACCTTACTGCAGAAGTAGATGGCCCCGTCCCATGACAGACACAGCAGTGTGCACCGCAGAGTCCTGCATGTGTCCACCCCGCCACACACCCTTCCAAACATCATCCTGAAACCATCGTTGGCACGTTCACCGCTCCAACAAGGACACTTAAGACGTGTACCTGTACGTGTGTCTCAGATACGTGTTTTATTTGTGTTTTTGTCTTCCAGCCTCATTGACTGTGATTTCAGTGAAAGCCGTCTCGGGCATGATCACTCTTTCTGTGACGGGGAAAATGCAGCTGACTTACGCCATCTTCTATATCATGCTTGTCATCATGATAGCCTCTTGTGTTTTCCAAGTCAAGTAAGTCAGCGCCTACAAACTCAACAACCTCTCCGCGTTCCTGCGCTTCTCCATGCACTGGCTTAGCTGATAATTAAAATGAAATACGGCGGTCTCCCAAGAGACAGGACCTCCAGTTTATCCACAGCCAGCCTCCGGCCTGGCATGCCTCGCTTTCTTCTTCCACCAGTGATTACTTTGTACTGAGCTGCCTCCGCGGCTTGCACATTCTAAAGTGAGGGCCGCGATCCAGCTGAGTGCGCCTGATGCTTCCCTGATGCTCTTCTGCTTGTAATTAATACCGACCGTACACAGGTTGTCATTAGCAATAAATCAAAGGGGCAGGTCCACATCCAGGGTCTCATTCTAAATATAGGAAATACATGAACCCTTCACCTCCGTCTCTTAGCTCACGCTCGTTAATTGCCCAGAGATGGACAAAACCAGACGTTTGGCCCGGAGGAAAACCCTTTCCCCAGAACTTTGCATCTTCGGCCAGAATTTCCTCCATCCCCATGGGATTTAGGAATGAATGTTTCGTGTTTCTCTTGGGTCCCAGTACTGGTGACATGGAACAGTTTTAATTCCTGTCCCCCGCTCTTCCATCTGCTTTAATCACCCTCCCCACTTTTCCTGTTGTGATTATACCTCTGCCTGCCGGGCTGAGAGTTCACCCCAAAACACTGTGCAGAAGCATCTCCCAGTGCCCAGAAGGAAACCAGATCTCAAACTGCTGATGGAAGGAGGGGCTTGTTCTGCAGATGGCAGCAGTCTGTCCTGTGGGTTGTAAGTAGGTCCTGGGCCTGTGTCAGGAGAGAGACAGGAGAAGTCCACTTCCTAAGACTGGGTGTGTTTATTATGTTAATATTGCTATCTCTCCACTTCTTTCTTCTGAGGTAACTGGTACTGCTACAGACCCTGTGGGGACTTAGTGATCAGTGTCATTCCTTGATACCTCCCCTCGGAAATTTAGAGGCAAACACAGCTGAGAGAAGGCTGCCTCCAGTCCACCTTATTTCACAGTGTAAAAATGTAGTCTTCCACCTTGATGCCTGTTAAAATTACCCGAGGAGGTTTGTTTGTACGAGTATATTCACATATGTGCACACACACACACACACACACACACACACACACACACATACTAGCTTTACCCACAAACCCCTTTTTTTCCAGTTATTCTTGACATCTGTTGTCCCTTGCTGGAAAACGAGCAAATCACTCTCCCGACCTAACAGCCGTGCTTCCCGGAACCTCCCAGGTGATGCCCTTGCAAGGCATGGCTTCATGGCCACCTGAGCAGCACGGCCAATGTGGGAACTTGCGTTCCTGGTGGCAGTGGCTGGAGCAGAAGCTCAGCTCCCACATGTGTTCTGCAGCTGGAGCACCAAACGTTGCTTTTGAAACATTAAACATTCCTTTGCTTCTCCGTCTGCTTTCTTGGCACGTGGCATGTCAGTGGATAGCTATATGTTTCCCACATATGATATTTAGCAGATTCTAAGGTCTATCCTAATGAATCAACCCCAGTGTGATACTGGTCCAGCAGCTTGAATCACTTCCAACTCAAACTTCTGTGGCCTCGGAATATGATTAATTGCTTTTCATTGTTACTGTTGTTGGTTTAAACAGACCATAAAACCTGACATCTGATCTCATACATCAGATGCATCTAAGCTACGGCCGCTGATTGGAAGTGCCCTTCCTCTGCACTTCCTTTCCCTTTGTAGTTGAGCTACAGAACATACATTTCTTGAAGTTATTGTTAGCATATTGCTGAGCGCTGCTGGACTGGCGTTTCAGTGATTACATCTTCTACAGGTTCCTGAACCAAGCCACAAAACTCTACACAACAACCACAGTGGTCCCAGTCAACCATGTTTTCTTCACAACCAGCGCCATCATTGCAGGTGAGTCCTGGTTTCCCATGGCAGGTGAAACCACCCCACCACAAGCACAAGACTCTCTCAGACTCCAAGGAGAAATGAGGCAGCCTTGGGAGCCCATGTCCCCGGCCTCCAGCCAGTATCTAATTTCCTCCGTGGTCCTCTCCTCTGTGAGAATGCTCCCCAGTGCACTCTGCTTCCTGAGGCAGCTCAGTCCTGTTTTGATGACTCTCATTAACTCGAGAGTTCTAATAACTAGAAAATGTCTCCCTACACTGGAGCTCAAATTAGTTTCCTTATGAATTCAAGACTCTTGCCTTTGCTGTACTGTCTCAGTCTTCTGCTTGCAGCGCCTGTGAATCAAAGTGGCGGAAAAAATACTCTCGAGTTTTCCCTGCGGGCCAAACACCCCCATTTCCTTGAGCTCATCATCCTTGCGTCCTCATCACCTTAATGAGAGAATGGGGCTCCTGACCTAATTCACCGTTGCACGGAAGGGCTGACAAACTCCCACATTTGCTATTTCCTCTCTTACAGCTCTGTATCTTAATAGATACTTTTATATTGCATAAATAATAATGCTAAAAAGTACAAAGTTAAAACTTGGTCCAAACCGAAATACAATAGATTCCAGTAAATCACCTATAAATGCATAATGATGGGCCCTGGCTCAAAATCAGTAAGCTCAAGCTCATTGATGTATTCGCTGTTTCCTCATCAGGTTGCTATATAGCTTTGTAGCATAGGCTGGCCTCTAACTCATGGTCCTTCCACCTCTGCATCCTGAGTGCTGGCATCACAGATGTGTGCCGCCAGGCCCAGCCCAGTTGGTAGGTTCTTGAAGTTATTCATACAGCCTTCTGTTTCCCAAGGAAATCGAACCTCGAAGAAATATAACAGAAAAGATTATATCCCAAGGTATCCATCGTTTTTAGTGTCTAGTGCTTTCTGCTGAAAGTGAGAAATGATTGAGTGTTGGTATACCCTAGAATTATCAGAAAATTAAAATAAAGCAAAAAGAAGTGTAGGCATGACATACACCCTAGTAATCAATATACAGAAGATGTAAAAACAATGTAGTTCCCTGAGCAAAGGCTTTTCAGTCAATAGAGCTGGATTTAATGTGCAGGACATTGGGCAATTGATGGATAAGGAGTGTTGGAACTTTCTGGAAATGATAACAGTTCATCTGATGTTGCGTGTGGAATGACAGTAAAGCTTTACAGTGGCCACTCCCCCAAACAACAGAGGGATGGCGGAAAGGTAAAACGACATTAGAATATTAACTCCTGTACTGTTGGCGAGTGGAAATATGAAATTGTATGGCCATTATGGAAAACAGGATGCAGTTAATCAAATTTTTTAAATTATTTCACAATCCAGCAATTCTACTCTTGTGTATGCCCCCCAAAAATGAACACAAATTTGTGGCATTTACCATAGTAGCCAAAAGACGAAAACAATCCCAGTGCCCATTGACAGACGATGGACAGAAATGTATGATGAGTGCCTACAATAGAATACTGTCCCCCTTACACAGGAAGGAGTCCTGCCACCTGCTCCAAAGCTGACGAAACACGAGGACGTGATGAAGAGAATCAAGTCAATGTCAGAAAGCAAATAAAATAGTGAGCTCACGTACTTGAGTCTGATTCACAGAAATGGGAAGAAACACGGTAGTTACCAGAGAAGGGCAGAGGAAATGTTTGACCAGAATACGGTTTCAGGTTTTCAGAAGGAAGCTGTTGTCAGACTTGTGTGTGCAGCAATGTCAATACATTTAACACCACCGAACTTTATACATAAAAGCTGTTAAGATGGTAAATGTTACAATTTTAATATAGTTTTAAAATTTAAAAAAAAATAAGTCTTTACTCTCTAAAACAGAAATCCCATTTCTGGAAACCCATTCTGATGACATGAAAATCTCAAAACACTGGGGAGGGTGTGCACCAACAAGCTCATCCCCACTGTGCTCAAGAGTGGGCAAGCAGGTACCGCTTGCTGCCCTTGGGGAAACGATTGAAGAACGGTACGACACAGAACAGGAAGTGCTCATCCACGTGGGAATATTATGCAGGAGTGGGTGTGGCTTGTTCTTTAGGTGACGAGGAGAAACCGAGACTGAAAGGGCAGGGTTCGCTCTGCTCACCGTGGTGTCTCCAGCACCTACAGTGGTACCTTCCAAAAGACACTAAATATTCTCTGCCCAACCAGCAAAACTAACACCCACACACAGCTACTTTCAGATGATCCATGAGTGAAAGATTTCCTATTCAATAAAAGCTCTACAAAGTCTTTGGGGCCTTAAATGAAGAAATCATTGAGACTTGCTGGGAGAGGAGAGTTCATTAAAGCAGACGATACACGCTTTTTCTCCCCATGGCCTACAGGGGGAACCAGAGGAAGGATATGGTAGGGAGTTCCATGGAGAAAAATGGAGCTAGGGCAACACCCAGTTGCCAGAGATCCCTCTAGTGCTCATGGGCATCTGGCCAGATTTATAGAACGTAAGATGTAGCCAAAGGGGTCCGTGGTTGCAGCCTGATGCCAGTGGCCTCAGGATCCACCCGGTTCTCAGGGTAGGTTCACTGACTCCTGATGAAAAACATAGGGTGGAAAATATAAGATATTTCTCTTTACAGTGCTGGGAAAACATCTCAGTACAGGGCTTTCCACACATGCGTGAGTTCAAGCCCCAGAGCAAACCCACATTAAGGGGAAGAAAGAAAGAGAGAAAGAGAGAGAAAGGGAGGAAGGAAATGAAAGGAAGAATAGAAAAGGAAAGAAGGAAGGAAGGAAAACAAGGATGGAAGGATGGAAGGAAGAAAGGAAGGAAGGAAGGAAGGAAGGAAGGAAGGAAAACAAGGGCGGAAGGAAGGAAGGACAGAAGGAAGGACGGACAGACAAAGTTGTATCTGTGACCCGAGAGTCTGAACTAACTAGCCAGCCAAGCCACATTGATAAGCTCCAGGTGGGTGAGAGACCCTGCCTCTAAAAACATAGTGTCTGTATGTTTCATGAGAAATGACACATGTTGTGCTCTGACTTTTGGCATGTGCACATATATGACTAAGCGTGCATATATAGGCAAAAATGAAATTTCTGCTTAAAATATAAGACTATCACACAGAGTCTTCGAAAATAAAATTCTGAATGTGCATTTTAAGGGAAACCACATATAGAAAATGTATATTATACATTTTTTAAAAAAAATTATGTGCTGCTATCGTAAATGCCCCTACCCTGAAATTAACTCTGTCCTCTTCTTATACAGGCATCGTATTTTACAAGGAATTCCTTGGTGCTGCTTTTCTTACTGTATTTATATATCTTTTTGGGTGAGTAAAAGTCTCAGAGGTCAGGCATGTGAAGTTCTATTAATTTTGTATAGGATTTTTGGCATCGTACCTGAAGTATAGAAAGTTGGAACATACTATGAGAAACATATTTTTCAACTTAACACTCTATGCGGGGCTTTGTGTCCTCCCTTGGCTTTGTGGCTTGTGTCCCCCTTTGAGAGCCCTGAAACATTGGGGTAAATTCATGGGTGTCTGTGGTTACTCCATTGCCTTTTCGTTCTCGTCAGGCCCACCTCTCCCTCAGAGCCCTTAGGTTGGATCACCCAAGCAAATGGCCAAGGCTGGTAGATTCTAGCCTGAGATTTAGCAGCTTCCGGTTGGTAGCTGCCCTTTCTATCATAAAGCACCCAGTTGGGCCCCTTCTAGAGACTCGGTGGATGTTACTGCTAACATCGCTGGCAGACAGAGCCAAGCCTCGATGATGTGTTGCCAATAATAGCTGCTTCCATCGGCTCCAAGCACTCCCCATTAATGCTCGGCTGCCTCTTGATCTGCTATTCAGCATGGCCATTGTTATGCAAACTTGAGCCTAGTCTATTTTCAACATAGGAAACCATCTATCTTGAAAATTCAATTTCATAAGACATTTGGGCGCGGCCAAACTTCTGGGGTCTGGAAACTATGACTGCTCTTATGGCCAAGGACAATGAGATTTCTTAGAAAATTAAAGAATAACTTGTTTTTCACTCATGTTGCATGCCAGTAATGGGTCTGGGCATGCATGGATAGAAAAACGAGACCTAGTGTCTACCCAAAGGGTTTAGAGCCCAAATTAGCCTCCAGATGGTGAAAACCTGGGGCAGAGATTCATTGGAACCTGCCCAAGTCTTGGTTCTGGGTATAACTATTACTGGCTGTGAGAATCAAGACAAGTTCAAGGCAGTTTACCAGAAGAAATGGGATATACAAAACCCATGGAATTTATGTCATCATGTGCACGTTAGGGCACAGCTATTTAATACCATGGGCTGTTTCCGTCTTCCTGTGTTCTCTACTAACATGTTCCTACAGGTGCTTTCTGTCATTCCTTGGTGTATTTTTGGTGACAAGAAATAGAGAAAACGAACATCTACAACAGTCTTTTATTGATTTTGGGAATATTCCTGGTAAGCAAAAAAGATATGTATGTATTTTCTCTATAATAGAGTATCCTTTGGCCTGAGATGATTCAGTAGATAAAAATGCTCGCCACCAAGCTGATGACACATGGGTCACATGGTTGAAGTTGATAAGCAACTCTTACCAGTGTTCTAACCTGCACGCATGCATACATACACAAGCCATTAAATGCCGTCTTTTTAAAATACAGAAAGTTTACCCTTGTAAATTAATCACTGTTGGCACTATTTTGGATATTAACATAAACACATAATTTTTACCTCAAGAAGAGCATTGAGTGGCGACACGGGTCATCCTTGAATTCCCCAAGAATGCCCCCTTTATTGTGTTCAGAGGCAGATTATATAGAGATAGCCACGCCCCAGCCAAACCCACCAGAAACCACTCTCCTGCCATCAGGAACTCCTGAAGGTCTCGTGCTCAGAGCAGCTGTAGGCACTCAGATCAGGGGATTACAAGAAATTCAGGATCTGGGGTCTCACTGCTCCCAACACATGGGGAATGGAAGATCCCTTACACCTACAGACCCATCCAAAGATTGATGGTCCTGATGCTAAAGGACATCATTCCTGAGGAAGACTGAGGCAACTTGTTCCCTGTGATGCCAAGAGTGACCACCACAGTCACCAGGACGTGAACACTCTCCCTCCTCACCATTCATGCAGACTGGACCACTGGGTACCATCTTCCCAATGCTTGTTTCCACTGCGAAACAACCCGCCGTGTGCATACAGTGCACAACAGGAGCAGAAGCCAGAGCAAAACCATTCTCACCACCCTCCTGCCCTAGCCACCCACCCACGCCTAGCTTTGCTAAGGATTTGGGGTGACCTACAGGATTCCACGCAATAGTAGAGGTAGTTCTCTCCACCATTCTGTCTATCATGCCTATAAAGCAAAGAAAAGAGAAAAAAAAGAAAAGAAAAAAATCACTAAAGTTTCTATAAGATTGAGAAACGAAGACCAAGGAAGCGAGTTTGGTATCCTCTTTGCCGTGTAAACTCCTAATCAAGAATACTCAGTGTTAGAATTGACATTTATAGCAGCAATGCTCATTAGAGCGCATTTAAAACTGATTTTTTGTAAGAAATAAGAAATCTGGAAAATAAAGGGGTGTTTGTTTGTTTGTTAACTGTTTTCCACGTCACAAAGCTTCACGTGTCGGATCTGCAATGACAAACTCCTGGTGTTTCCTAGGTTGCTGTATAGACAAGGGAGAAAGACTGCAGAGAGAGGTCTGGAGAGGAGTGACTGCATTATGCGGCTGTCCTGATTGTTCCAACCTGTTTCTATGCCCAGTACAGATGTCACAGGGACAAGTGTGTGACCACATGACAAGGGCTATGAGATTTTTGTGGGCCTCTCTTTCCTGGACGTTTTATCTTTTTCATTGAGAGAGTAACCACATAGTGTGTTTTTTAAAGACATAAAATGTGACCAGAGCTGGAGAGAAATTATTAGGACATTTTTATCTTTTAAGAGCTCAAAAGATCTTTTTATGATTATTATCTCCACAGGGAAACAAATGTTGGACAAAATACAGCCAGATTCAAATGGCACATCCTATGGAACCTTGCCTGATGGAAGCAACCCAACACAGAGCCAGAGTGGAGAGAAGAAAGAAGCCTAAAGCGCCGAGAGGGATGGCTGTTGGCCTGTTACTCGATACCACCTTTTTAAAACATTGCACATGTTCAGTTTGTGTCAGCAGCTATTTCACGCTGACGTGCGCGCATTCGATTCAGGCCTCCCCCCCCCCCCCCACTGTGGACAATCAGGGCCCTCCTAATCTCTAACAGTCTAATGCTTTTATGGAATGAAACTCGAAGTGCTCCCCACGCCCTGCATCTCTCCCTAGCGAGCATCTAACCAGCTGTGTCTTCATGCGAGCCTGGATGCTTGAGCAGATGCCACACGGAAATGTGCACTCAAGATCTGGCCATCAAAGGCGTAGGTCGCTCCTCCATGTGGCTCGCGGGATCAGCTTGCTGGCTTCAAGACACCCTCTGCTGCCACAACCTGTCTTTCAGGAAGGGTTTGATGTGGTCCTCTCGGGCTTCTTCTGTGGACATTTCCCTGTCAGGATGGCGAATTGTCTTTGTGGAAAACCAACTCTGTTGAAATCCTCCTTTGAAAATGAAGAGCCTTGTTTAGAAACAGACTCTACAAGCGGTATTCTGTTATGAGATATACTAAAAACTCCAAGGCCTGGCTTCTGACTTTTTTTTTTTTAGCTTTGAAAAAAACTGTATGCTGGGCAGTGATGGCTGGGGAGACACAGGCAGGTGCATCTCTGAGTTCAAGGCCAGCCTGGTCTACAGAGCTAGTTCCAGAACAGCCAGGGCTACACAGAGAAACCCTGTCTCAAAAAACAAAAACAAACAAACAAACAAAGGGGGGGGGACACATTTAAGACCTAAAACTGTGGTCACACCTCTGGCATATGTACTAAAATTCCAACAGCACATATTTTACCATGGTTTTTTTGTTAAATGTGACACACAAATTTATAAAGTGTTAAAGATTTTGCCACAATGTTTATTTTTTTCAATAAAATTCTAGAATGGTAGCATTTTCTCCAGCCTTATGATCCTATCATATTTTTTCAATAAAATTCTAGAATGGTAGCATTTTCTCCAGCCTTATGATCCTATTATATTTACATTGAAACTGAAGAAAAAACTTTATGATACGCCTTAAATTGTTGCAGGTCTTATACTTTATCTGGTAGATTTCTATACTTTAACTTCCAATACAATTCTCGAAATGGCATTTACATTCTTGGAATATTCCCCCAAGTCCTCTGAAGCTTTGCCAGTTCTTCTAGAAAAGGAAAATCATGATCAGAGGACTGGGTTTCTGCTCCTCAAATCTGGCCATTGAATGTAGCCTATAGAGGACCCATGGCTCGTGTGAATCCCTTGCTGCCACTCAGCGCGTTCTACTAACATACATTTGCCTGCAGAATCTGTAGTAACTTTTATTATTTATGCTGTACCTAGTATTCAAACAATAAGAAAAGAGTACACATTTATTGTAACCAAATAATAAGGCCCATCCTTCATGACACTTGAATCGTCCACCCAGTGTCGCTGAAGACTTAGTGCATGGCACTAAACTTGGAGATAACGAGATGCTAATCCTGTTTCTAGTCTTTTAATGTTTTCTTTATTATAACCTGAACTCTGACCAAACTAGAATAACCCAAAGCCTATCCCTGACTGCAAATCCTTACTAACAGTTCCTGCCACTGTGAAAAGTGTCCCATCAATCTGGATGCAACAGTCGTAAAATTAACGACATATTTTACTGAATGAGTATAGCTTGTTGACTCTAAGCAGCTCAGCTAAGTTATGGATCTGGTGCCTTAAATGATGGATTTCTAGTAAATCTTGACATTGGTTTCAAAGACTGTGAAGCAGCTAAACCAAAGAGTTTTCCTTGAACTAGGACCACATTTCATAAGTACAACACCCAGTTTTGAGCACTGTAGAGTTCTGCAGACACAAACTTTAACAACAATGTGTTGGTACTCTCCAGCGTTTGCATTTAAGGTTTTGAGAGATGAAATTCATCTATGTGATACAGAAATGCTTTTGAAATCATGGTTAGATATATTATATTCAGATCTGATTTTACTAATTGTGGTGGGCCAAACCAAGGTGGGGAGAAGTTTTAATTGACTGGCTCAGAGGGTGTTTCTCTTTCTCTCTTCATGCTCAGTGCCTGATGACAACCATGGCCAACCCACCCCCTTTTCTGAAATTGTAGGCTGGGAACCCCTGGCCAACATTTGGCTCATCTGGCTATTTGTCTAGACCAAGGACTGGTTTTTTCAGCAAAGACTTAAAAAGTAAATATTCGGGGATTTGTGTTGTCCATATGGTATCTGTCCCTCACTGCTCAGCTACTCCATCAAAGCACAAATGTAGCCACAGACAATACGTAAACAAATGGGAATTGATGTACATCAGTAGTTAGTACCAAAAAGTAATTAGTAGCCAATCCGTGTTGCCAAGCCCTGGTCCAGACTCCTTTGCCTTTGCTATGCTACTTTTTTTTTTTTTTTTCTTGTTTCTTGAGCTCTGGAGAGCTAAAAAGAAAAACCCTGACACTTCATGGTTTGTGACAAATCAGATGCTTGGTATTTACATTAGGATCATTTTTGCTTGTGTAAGAAATAAATGGATTTGTTATGAGTTTATTCTCAGAGTCCAACTTTGTCTCTTTGGAAAGCCGTGGTTCTTTTATGGGCACAACTAAACATGCTGAAAGAATTCCCCAGTCCTACATACCACTCCGATAATCGTTTTGGGAATTAGCTCTCGGGCAGTCAACTAGTGCAGAGGCCTCTGCCATCTGATCACTTAGTTTAAATGCTTGCTTACCCTATGCTATAACGCCCTCATTACCAAAAAGTCCTTGAAAACTTGTACAACAAAAGATTTTCAAGCAGGCTCAATGTATTCTTCAGACACACCACACACACACGCATGCACACACACCACATACACATACACACACGCATGCACACACACCACATACACATACACACATGCATGCACACACACACCACACACACCACACATGCATACATGCACGCACACACACACATATACACACACCACACACACACACCACAAACACACATACACCATACACACACGCATGCACACACACCACGTACACATACACACACGCATGCACACACATCACACACATACACACACACACGCACACATACTCATGCACACACACACACCACACACACACAACTCACACACACCACACAACGTACACATACACACACACACACACACACACACGCTGTCACCACCTACACATGCCCCACATGCAGCCCTGCAGTTTCTGCTCTATAATGGAGAAAGAAGAAGAGGAAGATTTCATAGATGTGTGCAGTCCAGTGCTATTGAAGAACAATGTGACAATCTCTGAGTTTGGCTAAAAGAAAGCGGGTGTGATGGTGACTCCGATGGCTGGAAATACGAAGCTGAGGACGTCTGCATGCTCTCTGTTTTCTGGGCACACAGCACATCCAGGAATCATGACTGCACGTGTTCGGCCATTTTAAAGCCCGCCCCTGGAATGCCAATTTAGTGGAGATATGAGGGATATAAGCACAGTTAGTAAAAATGAACCTTCCCAGCTCGCATCCAGACTGCTTTTTTTTTTTTTTTTTTTTTTTTTGCTTTTTCGAGACAGGGTTTCTCTGTGGCTTTGGAGCCTACCCTGGAACTAGCTCTGTAGACCAGGCTGGTCTCGAACTTACAGAGATCCGCCTGCCTCTGCCTCCCGAGTGCTGGGATTAAAGGCGTGCGCCACCATCACCCGGCAGACTGCTTTGTGCACACTCTGTGGCTTGTTATTAAGACAGTCCTTGAACAAGCAAGCAGCTGTCAGCCTGGTACATGTGTCTGGCTCCTGTCCATCCCTCCTTCCCTCGGCCCAGCCTTTTTTCTGTCAAGTTTTGTCTTTTCAGGATGTTGGATATCTGGGATCATACAATACGCAGCCTTTTGAGCCTAATTTCTTTTGTTTTTAATACACATATCTTGCCTCCGTGTCTTTCAGGGCTTGACAGCCTCTTAGCAAGATCACTAGATAAACACCACACATTCTGCACTGGTAAGAACTCGAAACTGAACCTAAAATGACCGCATGACGAATTTTGAGGCTGCTTCTAATCGTTAAACTCATCAACAGCCTGGCTCTTATTATGACCATCTAGAAGCAAAGTTTTTAAAAATAAAAAAAGATCGGTGCATACACGGTTTCAAATAGTAAAGTATGGCTATTGAACACAGTGCTTTAAAATAGTGCTTTAGCAATGTGGTACATCCAAGGAAGAGCCTTCCCACCCAGAAATTCTTGTGTCTGTCCCCTTTCTTACCAGCCTGAGGGCACCACCCAACACGCTGGCCTGTGCCAGAACAAATCCGTTACAGGAGCTATGGCCCAACTAGGAAACCCTCTTCCAATGTGGGTTCTTGTTGAGACTTACTGAGTACCACGCACTGCATAAAAGAAGAATATCAAACCCATAACAAGGTTTTTCAAGGCACACCCAACTGAGAATTCCATTGCTAGGAAGTTCACAGAGTCCTGGGCAAGATGCAAGATAGTCTCCACGTTCCGGGAAAGAACCTCCTTCCGAGGGATGCAGCAAGTGCCCAATGGAGACAGAGCTGACCCATCCGGTCAGAGCAGCTCGGCTGGATCTGAGCCGCTGTTATGCAGACGTGACCAGTCTTCCTGGCACTCGGGCATCCAGAACTGCTCCTCTCATGGTTCTAATTTTAAAACAAACCTTGGATATTTTGTGAGGTTTGGCCCTCCTCCCTCTCCATCCAGGGCACGTCAGCTAAGCCTCTGAACACCATACACTACGAGGAAATGAATCAGCTTGACAGGGCATGGTCTAGAGACTCAAAGCTCGGGGTAGTTGCCTGATTATAGACTGTTCACCCAAATACCAAACAACTGGAACTGCCAAATACTCATGAAGTCACTAGATCAAAATTGGTTGCCCACTGTTGTGAGCTGCCATGTGGGTGCTGGGAATTGAACCCAGGTCCTCTGGAAGAGCAGTCAGTGCTCTTAACTGCTAAGCCATCTCTCCAGCCCTAACTCTTATCCTGTTCTTACCACTATTGCCACAAAACCAATGCTGCACAGTGGCACGTCAGGAATGTCTTCCTTGGGCCACTTGAACAAACAACCTGGGAGCTATAACGAGATAAAGGTCACTGTAGGTTAGGCGGTCTTCAGAGGGATGGGATGGTGTAGGTTAGTGGTACCAAATGGTTGCTCTCTCTGCAGCCCTAAAAGCTGTGGATGGAAGTTCTTATTTGGGAAAAGGTCCTTGCAAAAGTTAAGGTGCTTCTGCTTCTTCTTCTTCTTCTTCTTCTTCTTCTTCTTCTTCTTCTTCTTCCTCTCTCTCTCTCTCTCTCTCTCTCTCATAATGTATGTGTTTGCATGTAGACACATGCACATGGAAGCCCACGTTCAGTGTCAGGAGTCTTCCTGGCTCACTAATGTATTGAGGCAGAGGCTCTCAGTCGAACCCAGAACTCATCGATGGGGCTGGTCTGTGAGGATTCTCCACCTCTGCCTTCTGAGTACCAGAACTGCGGGTGAGCCACCACAACAACCCAATCAACATTGACGTGGGATCTGGGAATCTGAACCAGAGTTCTAGAACCATCAGAGCCTGGAAGAAATCAAGGATGACTATCCCTTTTAAGGCCTTCATAGGGAGAGAGAACTGCCCCGCTGACGGTCAACCACCAAGCACAAGGCAATTATTACAATGACCTAGAAAGTTAATACACAGATCGGCGTGGTCTTGGAAGCACCAGGACATAGGAGAAAGTCCCAGAGACTGAGTAACAGCTCAAAGCAAGCTCCATATATCCCAACACACAGGGAGGGCAGCTCCAAAGGCCTAACGCGGCTGGAGCCGGTGCACACTACACTTGAGAAGAAAATGGTGGCATTTGCTTCATATCTAAGAATGCAATGTGAACGTGAATACTGTATTAGGACTTTCCTGGCTGAGACACAGCCCAGACAGTGAAATGCTTGTCCCACAACCTGGAGGACCCAGGTTCAGGCAATAAGCTCCGGGCTCAGCACGATATCCTGCATCCCCCGGTTGAAAAGGAGGCCTGATGTTCACCTCTGGCCTCCATAGCAGCCACAGAAATGAACATTCACACACAGAGAAACAATAATAATAAAAAGGACTGCATTGGTCACTTTCCTGGCTGGTGTCGTCAAGTCCGTGGCAGAAACAACCTAAGAGGAAAAGTTGGCTTGGCTCACAGTTTCACATGTTTTGGTCCGTCACAGTGGGGAAGGCATGGTGGTGGGGGCAGCTTCCCCCCTGGTGGTGGAAATGCGACCATACTGTTCACATGACTGTTGAAAAGGAAGCAGAGGGTGAGTCATAACCAGGAGCAAGGGGACCCTTCAAAGGTCTGTCCCTAGTGGCCTACTTCTGCCAGCTAAGCCCCACTTCTTAAAGATTCTACAACCTTCAAAATAGTGCCACAAGCTGGGGACTGGATATTCAAAGTGTGGGTCTATGGGGGACATTTCAGACTCAAACCACAAGGACATCGTCAGTCTCTTCAGAAAGTCACAAAACCAAGTGAGACTCCCCTGCATCCTTAGCTCTTCTCTGTTTGTGTAAGATGGCACAGTGGGTCCTCGGGAGATGAGGACTTGATCCCAGGTGTGTGTCTGCAGCCCATCTTTCCCCACTGGAGATGAGCAAGCGCTGCTGCCCTACAGGCTGGACAGTGACTTCTGAGATGGCCTTGAGACACAACACCCAGGAGGATGCCCAGGGCCAACCAGAGCCTTACTCTACAGGGCATGAGGACAATCACCACGTGAGGAGTCCATGGTAACAGCATAAGGAGGAAGGGTCAGCAGCAAGGCTGTTAGTAAGCTGAAGTTAGGGAGCAGGGGAGAATGAAACCAAAGAGATCGGCACTGTCCGCTGAGAAGGAAGAAAACCCAGCAACCGAAGCAGAGACCGTGAGGACAGCTGGGGACAGCAGTGTGTTTTGGGGAGCTATTGGGGGCCTAGCCTGGCTGTGGGGGGGCCACAGGTATGTGCAGCTCATCTCACTTCAGAGACATGTTTACAATACCCGCTCAACCCCCACCCAGCCAAGCAGGACTCCTGGACACCAAAAAGGCCCAAAGTCAACGGGGCTCGCTAGACCTAGAAAACAATAATTAAATGTAGCTTTAGGCTTCAGATGATAATGCGAAACTGGTCCGTGGGAGTCAACAACCAGGGGAGGCAGTACTCAGACAAGAAAAGTAAGCCTGTGTAAGCAGCTCGCAGCTGGGCGGACAGGTCGAGACAAACGGGAGAAACGAGCTAATAATGAGAGCCAGAGGAGGTCCTCCAAGTAGCACAAGCATCCCCCTACCTCCAGCCCCCCAACTCTACCTCCCACCCTCCTATCCCCCATCACTGCGAGCTAGGAATTCCTGCACCAAGTTCTTCTCCCCATTGCCCCACTCCCACCCGCTTCCTCCCTACCACCTCCAGGGAGTTCGGCATTCCTCACCACCTTCCCCCTTGGGTATGGGGACCTCACGGTGGCAGTCAGGGCGTGACAGCATACAGGACCCCTGAAGGACAGCAGTCTGTC